GAGCACCGGGGCACTGCCCGTCCCCAACCAGGCTCCTATCCGCCCCGAAGGGAGCGCTGGGACAAAGGCAGCTCCGTGCCGGTGTCCCGGTGCCAGCGGCGGGGACCCGCAGCTTTCATTTCCACCGGTCCCACCGAGCCGCCTCCGCTCTCGGAGCCCGAGAACAGGGGCGGGGAGCGCCGAGAGGGCCAAGCAGCCCCGGGACGTACCGGGAGCTCGGCACCGTCCTGTCCCGGTGGCGGCGGGGTGGCGGCCGATGCGGTGCCCGCGTCCCCCCGTCGGGTGCTTTCGGTGTTCCGGCGGTTCCGATCCCACAGATATCCCAAATCCACCCCCACAACCCACGGGGTCGGTGCCCCCACAGCAGCCCCCATCCCACATCGGGGGGACCCGGCGCCCCTTTGTCCCCTGCGTTCAGCCCGGCCCGGGGGGTGGGGGGGTGGGAGAGGGGGCAGCGGGGCCACCCCACACCCCGAGACTGCGGGTAGAGGGGGGCCCATCCCGGGACGTCCGTACTCACCGTCCTGGGGTGCCGCCTCGCTGCCGCTGCTGCCTCCCGACGGCTCCGGCATGGCCTTACCGCCGGCGGAGGGTGGGGGGCCGGCGGGGGGGGCCCCGTTCATCCCGGCAGCCACCTCCTCCAGGTCGAGGAGATGGCTCACGCTGAAGTTTTTCCGGCTCTGAGGGTTTTCGGGCGGCTCCGGAACGCGCACGGTGCTGGGGGCGAACGGTTTGTCCATGGCGAAGGCTGGCGGCGAGTCCATGTCTCCCACCCCCACCGGCCCGCAGCCCACCCCGAGGTGCCGGGCCGCTCCCCGGCCCCTTCCCCTTCTCCGATCCCCACCAAATAATAATAAAATAATAATAATAATAATTAAAAAAAATAAAAAATAAAAATCCCGGCTGCCCTGCGAGTCCGGCTCCCTCCCCAGCCCCTGTTCCGCCTTGTGCTGACGTCTGGGGAAAAAACCACGCTCCCAGCCCAAACTTTCTTCCCCTGCTCTTTGCTCTGGAGCTGTTCAAACAAACGCCCCTACACCGAGCGGGGCGGCCCCTCGCCCCCCGGTACAACGACCCCCGGGGTGGGGGGGAATCACCCCCTGCGCATCCCCCCCCTCCAGCCCCGCTTTAAGTGCTTCTCTCAACAAGTGTAAGTGGCTGCGCTCCGTGGGGAGTGCTGCGCTTCCCCGACTCCAAATGGGGCTGCGAACGGGTCACCCCAAATGGTGACCCTCCGGGCCCACCCCTCCACCTACATCCCACCCTCCGGGCCCCCATCAACCCCGGAGCGAGGTCAGCTCCGCTGGGAGCAGCCTGGCTCTCTCCCCTTAATGAGATAATTACGTCCTGCACCGCAGTTACAAACTCATAGGCTGCTTCCCTTGGGGTTAGAGAGAGAAACCTCCCTAATGAAAACCAGCCACCGGGCAGAGGAAAAAGGAGGTTTTCCTCTTTAAAAATTCGATATTTAGAGGTGTGTGTGTGTCGATGTGTGCGTACGTAGGGACGGAGGAGGCGGCGTGTCCGGCTGCGGGGCGATGGGCAGCGGCGGGGGGCTGAGCACCGCTCCTCGGATCCCCGCATCCCCGCATCCCCCCATCCCACACCCCGAGTCCCCCCTCTCACCGCCTCTATCTGCTCCACGCGCAATTTCCGAGCTCGCAGAACCCTTTCCCACCCATCCCGGCCCCCGGAGGAGCTGTTTTAACATTGGCCGAAAGCTTTCCTTGCGCTCTTTCCCTTGGAGCAGAGAGGGGCGCGCATTTCGATGCAATCCGGCGCTGCCAAATCTGATCTTCCTGACAAGGCAGCGGCTTCCCGGAGCTCCGCAGATTGCGGCTGAAGGCAAATTTTGGCAGTCTGCGAGTCCGCTGCGTGTGTGCGGGGCTCCCAGGGTGCCCAGCCCCCAGCCCTCCTCCCGCTATTGACGTTTATTGGCCCCAGTGTTTGGCCCCGGGGTTGCGTTGCAAGGCTGCAGCCCCGGCGTCCCCTCGGCTGTGTGTCCGCAGGGATGGTGGCACCGGCACCCTCGGTCGTGCATCCTCTCAGCCCCACTAAAACCATCTCTTCCCAGCACGGAGGTGATGCCGCAGGAGGAACAACGCGGCCCCGGAGCGCGGGGTCCCACCATCAATGTGACAATGGCTTCTGCTGGGGGGCAGCCCCGTGGCCAACACCTCCCCCCCCCCCCGCCCCATCTGCTTGTCCAGAGCCGATGTCTTTCATTCCATCCGTAGCATTAAATAATTAAAAGGAGGGAATAATCACCAGCAAAACCCCCTCGGGTTCGCACTTCCTCAGGCCCTCTGACGGCCGATATTTTTTTGGGTGAAATACGACCTTTTTATTTATATATATATATATTATTATTTTTTGTAACGATCAAAGGGGATCAGAGCTCCAAAGGAAAAAAAAAAAAAAAAAAAAAAAAAAAAAAAAGAGGCCAAGCGTTTTCTTTTCCCCAATCCTCACAGCCCGGTGAAGTTTCTTTAGACACGCAAAGATTTACACACCTTTCTGCGGGGTGCCTGCAGTTCCCCGCCGCTCCTCACGCATTTCCATGGGCAGGACAGGAACAGTAAAGCATTGAGAAACCAGGCGGCCTTCAGCCGTAGCCCTGTCGGCCCTTCAGAGGGTGAGCGCCTAATGGCTTTTTTTTGAAGTAGGGGTCAAGGTTGGGCTTGCTTTCCCCCCCCCCCCCCCCCCCTTTTAAATAAAACAATCTGTATTAATGCAATTTCCTTTTTAGCTGTAGGATTTAACTTCTACTTCTTTTTTTTGGAGGGGGGGATTGAAAAATGAGTTTTAAGTGATTAAAACTGGTGCTGGCTAAAGGAGATCCCGGCACAGAGGAGAGCGTTGGGCGGAAACTGAGCCAAGCACGTTCACTGCACCTAACCCTGAGCACATGGGCTCCGATCCCACACTGCGGGGCAGAGCAGCACCGACCCACTGCGATGCTGTCTGTGCTCCTTGGCGTGTTTCCTTCTTCGTTTTTTCCCACCTTAGAACGGAATGAATGCAGTGAATTGAGGCACAAATCGATGCTCCGTTGTGTCTTCCCAGCAGCGGTGTCACACTGCGGGGGCAACTCGAGGGGCAGGGGCTGCAGTGCCTTTGGTGGCATTGCACACCCCCAGCCCCACGGGAAGGCTTCTCCCCCAAACCCCTCATTCCCCACTTTCCATCTCCTTCTTTCACTCCTTCCTTCTCCCTCTCTCTTTCTTTCCCTGCCAGCAATCCCAATCCCAGATGAACCAATACTCCGTGGCTCTGCTATTTCCCTTTTATTCCTCCCCCCCCCCCCCCCCGGCAGCCGGGAGGGGGGAAAAGTGGGGAACAACGAAAAAAAAAAAGAAAAAAAGAAAGAAAGAAAGAAAAAAAAAATCAAAGCTGCACATATTGGATCCAGATGTGCTTGCAGCCCTTTCCAGCAATTTAATTAAATTCCCCCAGACAGCCAGGAGGATTTCTTAATGATCAAATTTCCCTGGCTTTCCTCCTAAAATGCCCCTCTTTCTTCGGCTCGCCGCTGCTCTGTCTCCCTGATGGATGGCAGCTCACATTCCTCCCCGCCGCCCCGCCGGGTGCTGCCAGCAATGGCACAGCCGGGCACCAACAGCGAGCAGTGGCACCGGGCTGCGGGTACGGGAATGGGGGGGAGGGGGGGAAGGATCATCTGTGGGGGATCCGGGTTTACGGCCCTGCCGGGGGGGGGCCACAAAGAGGGCACAAGGGGACACAAGGAGGACACAACAAGGATCCGAATGGGATGTGGTGAGGACACGGTGTGGATGCAGCGGGGATGTGGCAGGGATGTGGTGGGCACACAACAGGGACACAACGGGGACATGGATGGGACACGATGGAGATAATACAGGGACATGGCTGGGGCACAACAGGATCACAGCAGGGACATAGCAGGGGCATGGATGGGACATGATGGAGGCACTGCAGGTGGGTACACTACACAGACATGGCTGGGGCACAACAGGATCACAGCAGGGACATAGCAGGGACATGGCAGGGACACAAACAGGGACAAAAACAGGGATACAAACAGGGGCACAGCAGGGACACAGCAATGCTACAGCATGATACGATAGAGACATGACAGGGCCGCAGCAGGGTCACATTAGGGACGTAACAGGGACACCTACTCACAGCACTGCCTTCTAAATGATTTCTTCCCTAACAGTGCCTGGTGTGGGATGGACCTGCCTGGTGCCTTGTGCTGCCAAATGGCTGGGGATGGTGACAGTGCCCACCACCCGCACCACGGTCTGGGGAACACGGAGGGATTGGGGATGGGAGCAACACCACGGATGTGAGCATGGTGCTGAATCCCCAGCAAGGGGAGCTGTTAGCCCATGGGTGCAGTGCAGGGGGGGGGGCACCCACTGCTCTATGGCTGCAGTAGGGGGCGCCTTGGAGACACGAAGGCACCTGCACCTTTGGGTGCTCCCTGGAGGGCGATGGGGGGTGCGTGGGGCTGCAGGGCCGTGCTGCACACCTGCACGCACCCGGTATGGCATGGACAGAACCAGAGCCATTGAGGGCAATGGGAAGGGGCTGTCACTGCTAGGGGGCGGGATGAGCATCTGTGCATTGGTGTGCGTGTGCACTGGTGTGCGTGCACCCGCTTGCAGGCACGCATCACGCACGTGAGAACAGCTGCGGGTGCGTGCACCTCTTGCACACCGCATCTTGCAGATGCATGTGGGGCGTGTACACACCTGAGGCGTGTGTGTGTGTGTGTGTGTCTGTGTGCATGTGTGTGTGCGCGCGCGTGCACGTGCGTCTCGCGCCCACCAGCACCTGCTGCGCGCGCCCCCGCCCCGCTCCCGTTCTCCCGCTGCCCCCTGGCGGCCTCGCGCGCACTAGCCCCGCCCTCAGAGAGGCCGCGCCCCTCGTTAGACCGCGCCCACCGCCAGGCCCCGCCCACCGCCAGCCCCCGCCCACAAAATGACGAAACTGGCGACTTCCGCTTCCGGCGGCGGGGCCCCGAAGTGCGGGCGGCGCGGCTGTGTTTTGTGTCGCTGCCTTCGGGCTTCGCTCCGCGGGGCCGGCTTGGGGCCTCCGGGACGGCCCGGTGGGTTCTGCCGGCGCTGCCTCGAGGTTTTGGAGGGGTGGGGTCGGAAATTTTGGGAGCGAGAGAAGTGATGTTTTTTTAAAACGCAGAACTATTGGAAATTCGTGTTTGTTTTCAGAGGAGCGGGCGGCCCCATGGAAACCAGGCCCGGGTCGGCCTGAATGTGGACGGGCGGCACCGCTGTGCGGAAGGGCCCTGCGGGTCTGGTGTGCAGAGCAGAGTGCTGCAGGATGCCTTTCTTGCACGGCTTCCGCAGGATCACTCTCGAGTACCAGCCCTTGGTGGATGAGATCTTGGCGTTGCTGGCGCTGCAGGATGCAGAAAGGCAGAATGCACTTGAAAGGTAACTGACCGGGCTCCAAGCAGAGCTCTGAGGATAAACACCTGCTTGGTGGTGGTGGCTGGAGCTCTGCAACTTCGGCACTGGAGTAAACCCTGTCTCAGTGAGGGCCATTTTTCTGAGGGCCATTCTCCTTCTATCCTTTGGGAATGCGGGATGGAGCAGAGCAAACGTGAGGCTGTGTGCGCTCCTCAGAAACTGGCTGACCCACAGCAACAAAAACTCACTAGGGTTTCAGCTGCACTCCAGTGCTGCTGTATAACCCTGTAGCCAGCAGTTTACAAGAGAACAGGAGAAACCTGGGCTTTTTCTCCCTCCCTGCTTTGACCCTTGCAAGCTCATAGGAGACACATACTGCCTGGGTGAGTAACTGGTTATTTTCATTCATTTCCAGTCATGCCTGCCTGGGCAGCAATGGAAGCCAGCTCTCAGCAATGAGACAAGTCTTGGAGAGGGAAGCCCACTCCCCATTCTACCAGGAAGGTGTGAGCTATACCTTGCTGAAGGTTACTGAGCTGGGGCTTGTCGAGGCTGCAGAAGTACTCCTGGAGTTTGGTGCAGACCTCAGCTTTGAAGGTATGGCTGTGGGAAGGGCACTGTGCTTGACTGCTCCTTGGGCTGGCTGGGAGGGGCTGGGTGGTGAGAAGCTGCCCCTGCAAGGCAGAGATAGCTGGGACAAAAAGGGAGGGGTGCTGCTGGCTCCGGCCTCAGGCTCCCACTACTGGATTTGATAGATTAGATGTGCCTTATCTAAATCCAGCTATAAGAATGGGCTGGGGGGTGGCCAGAGAATGGGAGCCATCTTTGAGAGCTTTTGATAGAAGCAAAGCCATTGCAGATGCAGGACCTGGGGCATCTGTAACGACTGCTTCTGTGGGCAGCTGTTCTCAGTGCCCACCCTGGCTGACATGTTCCGTGTCTGGGAAGACCCTCGGTTCTGACCGCGTGTTTTTGTCCTCAGACCCAGTCACCTACTACACCCCCCTGCACATTGCAGTGCTTCGCAACCAGCCTGACATGGTGGAGCTCCTGGCACGCCACGGGGCCGACATCAACCGCAGAGACCGGGTACGGAATTGACTGCTTGGACACAGAGGTGCTCCAGCTTCCTTGGGCCTGCAGATGACCAGTCTGTGGGGTCGGCCCTGTCTGCTGCCCCTTCCAGAGCCTGCTGCATGCCATCTGCCATCAGTGGCCTCCCAAGCTGCTGCCTGCACTGTTCCAGTGCTGTGGCAAAAGCTGAGACCGCCTTTGGCCAAGCAGACCTGCCTCTGCTGTGGAGTGTGTGGTGGGAGGAAGCTGGGGTAGATCAACCTCTCCCTGTAGACATAGTGACACTGGGGAGGGGGCTGTCACTTGTTTTTTGGGGACAGGATGAATTATCTTCTCTGATGTTGGCCATGATGAATGGCCCCATCGGTGATTCTCCAGAGGTACTCATGAATAGTCCTTAATACTTGTGTGTTTTCCTCTTGCCCTTTACAGATCCATGAGAGCAGTCCCCTTGATCTGGCCAGTGAGGAGCCTGAGAGGCTGCCGTGCCTCCAGCGGCTGCTTCAGCTTGGGGCTGACGTCAATGCAGCTGACAAAACTGGTTTGTGGGGTGCTTCCAGCAGGTGGGCTGGAGCAGGGCATGGGATCTGTGTACCTTCACCTTGCTGCTGCAAATTCTGCCTGCTCTGAAAATTGATGCAGGCTGCAGAACCTCCCTGGTGTTCTGTGCTGTCTCCTAGTGTCTTGTCTGCATTAGATGCAGCAGGAGGCTAAAAGCAGCTCTGTACAGCCCATGGAAGATGGGGGAGAGGGAGATGAAGGGGGGGGAGGAAGGGGGGGTGCTCTAAGAACCGCTCTGCCATCACCCATGTGCCTTCTGGGGCCACCACCAGCCCCAGCTGTGCCACCACAGCTGTGCTCCGTCACAGCAATGTTGGGAGCCTGCTAGCAGAAGGGCTGTCTGCCTTGTGATTAGCAATTGGGTTGGTGGGATGGATTCTTTTCCTTCCTTCTGGGGGTGTTTCCAGGTGGAGCACTGTCTCATCTGATTGTCTTTTCATACTGCAGGAAAGACAGCGTTGTTGCACGCCTTGTTGCACTGTCATTGTAGCAGTGTTGTGGATCTGGATGACATCACAGAGAGCATCCGTCTGCTGTTGGAAGGAGGTGAGGGCAACTGCTCCCTTCTCCACTCAGAACCCCTCTAGGCCTGGTGCTTGCTGATTCTTTGTACAGCACCAGGTGCTGCCCTCCCAACTCCTTTGTGTTCCCAGCTGAGCAAGAGTAAAGTCCAGAAGAGCACCTGTCCAGGGGTGCTCTGATTTGAAATACTTTTCCACTAGGAAGAAGCACTGTGGCTGTCAGCTGTCTTGCTGTCAGTTCTACAGTGGGTTGTGCAGGTGCATGATGCAGTCAAGTACTGCCTTTCGTACCTCCTGGTGGTAATAAAGGATCTACACCCCCTCCCCCCTCTTAGTATGTCTCATAAATCCATTTTGATTGTGTCCTGCCTTTCTTTATAGCTCCATTTATGTTCTGTTCCTTCCTCCAGGTGCAGATGCCAGGGCTACCACTGAAAATGGTGACACTGTCTTCACCTACATCATCTTCCTGCTGGGTGACATAGACTTGGCAAGCACGGAGGTGGCAGAGATGCAGAATAGTTTCTGCATTCGTGTCATGCAGCTGCTCATGGCCCATGGTGCCAACCCCAGTGAGTGCCCATCCCTCGAGTCCTTGACCTACCGCTGCCTCCAGAACTTCACGTGTCACTTCCCACTGCTGCGTTTCCTGCTGGAGTCAGGTGCTGCCTACAACTGCTCCCTCCACGGTCCTTCATGCTGGTCAGGCTTTCAGACTGTCTTTGACTGCCTCTGCTCTGACGTCAGTATCCTCAAAGATAGCAGCATCTCTACAGAGGTCATCCAGATGGGTCAGACTCTGCTGGAGCTCATGATGGCCAGTTCACAAACCATCCAGCTGCCCAGCGACTTTGAGGTCGACGTTAACAGCTGCAGGTACCACGAGGAAAAGATCAGGAGTCTGTTCTGCTCTGTGAAGCAGCTGGAGCACACCCCACAGGCACTGAAACATCTCTGCAGGGTGTTCATCCGGCAGCGCCTTAGGCCTTGGCCAATAGATGTAAAAATCAAGGCTCTGCCTCTTCCGGACAGGCTGAAGTGGTACCTCCTCATTGACCACACTGCTGTTGGGCACGAGGACCTCAGCCTGACTGATGACTCCTCATCTCCTCATTCTGTGGTCACAGTGCCTACGGAGGGTCAGCACATCACTGCTCTGCGCCTGTTGTCCCTGCAGTGAGAGGTACTGCTGTCCCTGTGCCAGTGGCTTTACTAGTTCTGCCTGTGGTGTCTCTGCTGAGTTTTCAGGGGTGTGCTTTTTTGTGCACAATGCTGCATGCGTGTCTGTGGAGGTCTCGTGGCTTTAAAATACGTTGCATGGAGGTGGGCAGAGCCCGGGGGTGAAGAGGGATCCTGAGCAGTGAGAAGCTGGACACTGCAGGATGAATATGGTTTAAAAGGTGGATTCGCCTTTGCAAGGTGAAAGAATGTGGATCTGTAAGAAAAGGGGTGAGAGCAGGAGGATGGTGTGACCATACAGGTCTCTGCTCTGGCTGCAGGGTGGGAGAAGCAGTGCCATGAATGGCAGCACAATGAGATGCCTCAGGATGCTGAGAGATGCTGCTTCTCCCGGGAACTGAGCAGCACTGAGCAGGGGAGTGCTGGCATTCAGGCCCTCCTGTTCAGTCAGTGGAAGCAGCCACAGTCCTGCATCTCTGCCTGGATGCGGGTGCCTTCTTCACTTACCTGGGATTCCAAAACCAGGAAGTTGGAGGGGATGAGGGGAAGTGGGGTTAGGAACAGCAGCCTGAGTGCACAGTATTTGCCAAGAGTGCTGAATCCACTCAGCACAGAGCACTGCCTACAAAGGGTGCCTCAGTAATGCTGGACTCCAAGGCAAGCAGACAAGTGGCTGTTCTTGGCTTCATGTTGTGTCCTTGTGCAAGGATGTGGGATGGGCAGCTGTCTCCTCAGTGCCTTGCTCCTCCCTGTTCCTTTTATCTGCTTCTCTTTCCTTTGGTGATTGCATGCTGAATATTGATCTCCATTGCCTCTTTCCCAGGGGAAAGAAATTGCAGCAGGGCTGCAATGGGAGTTTTCTTGCCAAGCTGCTACTGGAAGCCTCAACTTTTGGGGCTCTGCAGGAAGGTCCCAACCTGTCACAACCATCTGGCTGCATCAAGGAGGCATCTGCTTCCTTGTGAAGTGCAGAAGATGCTGTAAAGCTGAGCCCCCCACATTTCTGTTGTTGTTGTTTGTCACGGGGAACAGATGCAGAAGAGGAAGAAATGTACTCTGAGCAGATATTTATAGCAAGTGGATCTGGGATCCACAAGCAGTTGGTTGCAGAAGAGCTGTCTCACCACATTGCCCCTCCTGGCAGCATCTGTTTTTCACCTTTTCCTGCTAAATGGAACTGGAGCTGTGCATCTTGATGAATTGATGTTTTGAAAAATAATAATAATAATAATAATAATAATAATAATGTGATAAAATACTTCCCTGCTGTCTGGAATGGAAAATGAGCAATTAAACAAGGCCTTTTAAATAGCATCAAGGTGCATGTTTCTTCTGCAGAAGAGTCAGGGTGGAAGCAGGGGCTCCAGCTGGTTCCTGGGGAGGAATTCAAGGGATGGGTGGCAGCAGCTCTGTGGGCTCAGCCCTTGGTGAGCAGCTGGGCCAGTGTTAGCAGTTGTGGTGCATTAGGTGGGCACAAGCCAGTGGCTGGGCAGAAATGCTCTGGATGGTGGCAGAGGAGGAGTGTTAAAAGCTAGGAGGCAGCTGCAGCATTTAAGCAGGAGGCGTGGGGCCCAGGATTATGTCTGCCACTTGTTTTGCTGCAGGTGTGGAGGCCCGCTTTGTGGGTTTACAGAAGGCCCTTCTCAGAGCCCCACAACCTACAGCGTAGCGTAAGACAATGGCAGAGATTTCTTCTGTTTGCCATACCCAACTTGGTGCCAATCTCAGCCCTCGCTTCTGTAAGCCACAGTGAGTTCATGAGTGGGACACCCAGGCAGGAGAGGGAATCCAGCCTGCCACAGAGATGTACCAAGCTCCTGCTCACAACCAGGGAGCAAACCTGCAGGTGCCCAAGGAGCACATCCCCAACAGGGGGACTCTCCTGCTCCCAGCACTGTTGGGTATCTCAATACAGATCCCTGGGTGCAGCATCAAGCCATCTGACAGAACCCGCGTGCTTCAGTCCAACAGCAGGAAAAATGTATTTGGCAAACACCTCTTTTCACAAACAGCAGCAACTCGGAAGACGAAGCCCCATCCTCACCACCAGCCCCACACAGACGGAGTCGCAACGCCCTCGCTGCCCCGCGCTGAAGGCACAGTCCTCACCCCTCCTGACCCCGGCAGGAACCGGCTGTCCTGGTCCTGGAGAGACCTCCTCCCATCAGCACCTTCATCTCATGGCGAAGGTGTAGACATGGTAAATCTCATCGGGGAAGTTCTCCTGGCGCTCCTCTGCCAGGAGGTGCAGCCCGGCCCGGCGGATGATCTTACGGACCACATCCAGGTCCCTGCAGACGCTGCTGTCCACATCGTCCATGATGACACCCTCCTGAGCCATGTTGTCCTTGATGACCACGATGCCGTTGGGCCGCAGGCCGGCACGGCATCGCTTCAGGAAGTCAGAGAGGTGGTTGTCAGTGAGGTGTCCTGGGGGGCAAAGCAGGTATTAGTAAATGCAGGGCCGCCAGGCAGTGTGATGGATGAAGGGAGGCTGTGGTTGGAATCCCTCCTGATCCAGGCAGACTAACATTTGAGCAGTGGAAACCATGGGGATGTTCAGCTCGCATCCTGTGTGCTCAGTCCCAGCTCTGTCCAACCCACACCTCTCTGCCCTGGCCTCAGAGTTTGGAGGGAAAAGATGCCACAGCGCAGTGCCCTCCCACAGCCCCTCTGTGGGTCAGACCCCCTACCCAGTCAGGCTGCAACACTCACATCTTTGTCTCCAGCAGCCCCAGGTCTACTCAAGCCCCTCCCTGCGCATGTTGGGGTACCTGGGACAGGCAAGTGAGACCCTGCTAAGCCGAGCGACCCTCACCAATGACCCACTGGATCCAGATGACGTCGTAGGAATTGGGCTCAGGGCTGAAGTCCTGGAGGCCACAGCAGAAGTAGTTGCGCACCCGCCTGCCTTCCTCCCCCAGGTAGCTCTTGGCCTTGGTGAGGAAGTCCTCGGTCACATCCACCATGTCCACAGTCTTGAAGAGGGGCAGCAGCAGCCTCTTGGTGATGCGGCCGATGCCAGCCCCGCAGTCCAGGGCGCGGGTTGTTCCCGTTCGGTTGGGGCCATCCTGGAGTGACAGTGTGAGGGACGGAGCTCAGAGAAACGGGACGACCACGTGTGGAGCTCACAGAGCAGCAAAGAGGGAAGAGCCCAGCTCTGCTCAGGGAAGAGGACAGAGCTCTGGGAGCACAGCAACCCACGGCACCTACCCGCAGAAAGCGCTGCAGGAATTTCCTGGAGCTGTTGATGTCGATGCTGGAGATGTGGCCGTAGCCCCCCAGCATGCCGTCCACTGTGGCGGGCACATCCTTCCAGTACTTCTCTGCCTTGGAGTAAAACTCAAACTCATTTTCCACCACCTCACTCGTCATGCTGGCTCGGGGCACGGATCCTTGTGGGACTCACTGCTCCTCCAGGGGGGGAGAAATCACAGGTGAGGCACAAAGCCCCCCCACCAGGTGGGGCTCCCAGCGCGCCCCCCAGAGAAACAGCATCACCACCCTCCCCTTGTTAATGCCACAGCCATGAAGATCAGCTCTGTGAGCACCCTGACTTGGGGCTGACACCCTTTATCACCCCCTAACTGGGCTATTTCAAACCCTAAAATCCTCCTGGGGAGCAGAAAAAAGGAGCAACAAAGTGTTTTCAGAGCCTCCCAGGCAGGGACGCTTCAGCCTCGCTCAGCAATACCCCATTTCTTCCTTTGAGGGCTGCCCCAGCCTTTTCACCTGTTCTGCCTCCTCTCTCCAACTTAAGAGCATTAATGTTTTATGTGTTTATCTACACTGACAGCCCCATCAGTCACCTCCAATTACATCTGGAGTTGCTAAAAGTTCTCCTAAGCACCTACCTGAGGATTGTAAATCTCAGCCGTGACCACCAGTTAGATATATGTGCCATGTAATAAAGTCAAGGTATAATCAGCAATACAAGCTATAAATCCCCCCCAGACATCCCATAATTCAAACCGCTGTGGATGTGATTAACTGCACCAGGGATCAGAAGCGAGATTTAAGGTGGCCAAAGGCTGAATTTGAGGACTTCAAACACCTTTATAAATAAGGCAAAGACCCCGTTAGACACAAAACCTTTCCTACGGCAGCGGAGGCAGTTTCGGGGTCCTCAGCTTGATGTCCCAGCGTGGCTGCGCTGTGACCTAAGGGAGGAAAGAACGCAACTGGAATCCTAAAGGACAGCACGGCAGCCCCGAAAGGAGGGAGGTGAGAGCCGCTCCTTCCTCAGGGCCGCCCCACAGCGCCGTGTATGGGGCGGAGGTTCCGAGAGCTGCACGAAGCGGGGCTGGCAGCGGCACCGTGCCGCTGGGCGCCTCCCCCCCCCTGCTGTGTACCGAGTGACACGGCCCAGCCGCTCCCGCGCAGCTGCAGGCCTCAGCCCGGCTCCTGCGGCCCAGGACCGGCAGTGACGGTTTGGGGCCCTGGGAGCCGGGGGGAAGAACGCACAAAGGCCTAAAGCGGCCTAAAGCCGAGCCGCTCTCCCCCCCCTCCTCGCCGGCCGCTGCCAGGGGCTCCCGAACCCACAGCCCCGCGTCGGGGTCCCGGTATCCCCCGCCCCCCCACCCCGACCTCCCCTCCCACCCGGACGCCCCCAGCCGTTACCTCGGGCCGCGGCCACGCGCCGTGAGGCGGCGCTCGGCGTGACGTCACGGCGATGTCACGTGCCGAAAAGGGGGCGCGGCTCGGAGGCCGGACGGCGGAAGCTCCGCCCTCACCGCCGAACCGACCGCCTCCGGAGCGCCGTAACCCTGCACGGCCGCCAGGAGGCGCTGTTGTCCCGCAGTGCCGCTGCCGTCGGAACTCCGCCGCCTCCCGCGAGGCCGGGCCGTGCGGAGCGGAGCGCAGCGTGCGTCCATCGGCGGCCGTCACGGCGCGGAGCGGCACCGCGTGCCCGCAGCCCTGAGCCTGCGCCGCGCTGTGCCGCCCTCCGTGTGCGGCTCTCGGCCCCGAGTGCGAAGCCGGGGGAAGCAGAGCAGCGTGGCACGGCCCGGCCGAGGGCTGGGCAGCTCCGCGAGCCTTCCCTTTCCCTTTTTCCTTTTTCCTTTTCCCTTTTTCCTTTTCCTTTTCGCTTTCCTTTTCCTTTTCCTTTTCCTTTTCCTTTTCCTTTTCCTTTT